ATTAAATCTTATAATCGAGATGGGTTGATAATGATAATAATAATAAAGTGCAGAGCTCAAACGGTTAAAAGTTGAAAGTTGAAATTTGGTATACAGTTAGGATACGTCATGAGAACGTACATTAAGAAGGGATTTTTCGAAATTGTCCCCCCCCGTGAGGAAGGGAGAGAGAGAGAGAGAGTAAGGATTACCCCCGAAGAATTTGGCTTCTACTGTACTATTGTGAGATCCATGATTTTCAAGGATATTAAAATCTATTTTTAAGAAATTTTTTTATTTAACATTTGTCGCGATCGTTAGAAAACATTGCACAGAGCACGGATTGAATGACAGCTTTACTATCAACAAACGGATGAGAATCTTAACAGTCAGTTGCAAAGTGATAACATCCGATTGTGAAAGGAAAGGAAAGCGACATCGTTACATCAACGAAAGTCATCGCTGAACTCGCACCTGCAAAAGCAACTTTCGTTTCTAAACAACTGCCGATCACATGATTGACTTTCCCAGGCTAAATGCTTAAATGGAAGAGACAATGACAATTCCGGGAGGTCGTCCAAAAGAAAGGTGTTCGTCCCCATAGTGTTCGATATACCCGCCATATCCGGTGGATACCGATGGTCATATCAAGACGCCTCATAGAACAGACCTCTTCCAAGCCGTTATCATCGACGACTCGCCATATGAAAAGAGAAGACATCGACTTCCATAAGGATTAGAGGTATTTTGTTAGAAATGTGTAAACTCTCTCTCCGCGTTCGAGAAATTAGGCCCGCCCACGCGGCATAAGACATAGAATAGTCGTGCCGCGGTTGTAAGATCTAATATCCGTATTATCGCCCTATGTTAATTATTTTGTTTGAATCCTTATGTATATCGTAGATTTAGAATATATTAAACTTTTATTTGTTTCGTTAAACTTGTCTACCTGTCTCGGAAACCGGACACCTTATCGACTTACCCACCGCGCTCCCCACTCAACTATTTGCCCTTCTAACCAGAGCCGTAACCAGGCAGGTGCAACAGGTGCATTCGCACAGGGCCCACTTGGAAGGGGGACCCAAACTGCTGTTCACAATAAATTATATTTTTAAACCTTAAATTTTTTCTCCTTTTTTACATTTTGCCTTATTTAGACCCTAGATGTCTACTCACCAGTGTTTCCAACCGTGGCGACTTTTAGAGGGACGTAGTGAGATAGCGGAGACCTCAGACAAATCAGCCAAAAGTAGCGACTTTTGAAATTTTGTTTATTTATGTTTTGAAAAATATAAATTTATGTTTATAGTTTTCAAATTTATAGATTTTTCTCTACTTTATAGCGCTCTCTGTCAACGACTAATATTATTACGATATACAAAACTCTATTTCTAGATTTTTCTACAGTGTGCAGAGCTAGAAATCTGTAAAGGTAACATTTTGTAAGAAAAATAAATCTGCCCGGGGATTTTTTTAATTGCTAAATTGCTAAATAGAAAACGTGGTAACTTTCGATTAAAATCTTATCTCGAGGTTGTAAAAGGCGCGCAGAAATTCTGACATAACTTTTTGCTTTATAGTGGTACGCATATGTGTTGCATACCTCAACGGTGGATTAAGCGGTGAGCGGACTATGCGGCCGAATAGGGCCTCAAAGGGGTCTTTAAAATGTTACTGAAAAAAGGCTGATTTTTGCTTTCTCTGTGGCTCTTCTTTACAATACATGAGTGTTGCTGATTTTAAAAAAAATCAGCTGCAGATCTCGCTATTAAATATGGCAAAGATTTAAAAAAGTACGAATCCACACGTGAAATTGAAAGTTTTAAGTTTGAAGTAACGACTCATACAAAATATAGAAACTGCATCTCCGCTTAATATTCTACAGGCTCTTCATGATTTTGGTTTAATTGAGTCTTATCCAAATATCAATGTCGCTGTCCGAATATTTTTAACTCTTTCCGTTTCTATTGCTTCGTTTTAGCAAGTTAAAATTAATAAAAAAATTTATTAAGATTAACTATCGGGGAAGAACGATTGTCCAATATTTCTATTATTTCAATAGAATACATTAGCGAGGTTGCGGCCGACGTTTTCAACGCGAAAACGTGTAAGTCGGACGTTCAGCGCCGCTGTCTTGTAAGCCTAGAAGTTTGACAATGGCGTTTGGAACGTCTAGCATAATTCCACTGACGTTCCAAACGCCATTGTCAAACTTCTAGGCTTACAAGATGGCGGCGCTGAACGTCCGACGTACAAGTTTTCGCGTTGAAAACGTCGGCCGCAACCTGGCTATTATCGTTAAAAATATTAATTATGATCATGTAATTAATGAATTTGCTGAAATGAAAGCCAGAAAAGTTCAATTAAAATAAAATTATTAAAAATCTATTGTAATGTATTTGTTTTATTATTTTCCCAAAGCAAATAAATTAAGGGGCCTAAATGCAAATTCTTGCACAGGGCACAGGAATGGCTAGTTACGGCTCTGATGTCGACGACCGGATCGTAGTTGTTTACCGTCTTTATGGAGTTTGGCGAAAGCGAATAAGCGTGGTGAAATCGGCCGAAATAGTTGCCTTAGTTATCTTTAGTACTCTAGCCAATGGGACAGGCCCATTAAGCAGGTAGTTGTTCCCCAAGAACGGAGAGCGGAAGTGTTAGATTTAGCGCACAAAACTCCGTGCGGTGGACAGTTAGGCAGTCGGGAAACAGCAAGTGGCATTCGCGAGGGCTTCTATTGGCCGGAAATTGCGACCGACATCCGGAAGTACTGCCAGAATAGTCATAGGTGCCTAGTAAGCGCGCCTGATCTAGTCCTAGATAGGACCCCAATTGCACCACTTACTCGTTCATCAACCCTGTTTCAAGTGGTTAACCTAGGCATGATTGTACCGATTGATCCCTTGTCATCTAACGGTCGTCGCTTTCGATTTTCGGTAAATTGTTTGGTGTTGTGAAGGGAATCAAACAGGCTTAAGTAAGCTCAGTTTGATCCTCGGCCGTGGAGGCGTCGGGATAAAAATCGTCTGTCGTGCGATTTCCCGCGCTTTTCCATTCTTTCGACGAACGACGATTGTCGCCATAGAAACGGCAATCGGACCACTTTTGAAGACTCGACAGCTGATTGGTTGAGAGACATCGGACCATCGGCGGACGTCTTGTAGAGCGGCTAAGCGCTGATTGGTGGAATCCAATTCGGCTTCAATCCATATAAAAGGATTGAGTTGTGGCGGGAAGTTGAGTTCGCCTGGAATACATCTATGGAACTCACGTTTGTCTAAGTTCGCCTTGGACGCTTGACTTTAGTTCCTCTAAGCTATTCCCCGAAGATTGTTTCGTCTGGTTGGACTGTAAATGACTTTAGAGTTAGTTCATCGCAAGGTGTCCTTTCGACGGACCTATTGTGGTGAATAAATGTGTTGAACTTTGTTATAATTAATGTTTTGTGAACTTAGTAACTGTACATACGTTTACTTTCAATATATACATGTTTTGAATTTAACTGACGTTGTATGTCTTTTGGACTTTACTCCTTGCTTGAGTCCTTTCCAAAAATCGCCTTAGTGCATTCAGTGTTGCTGATGTATTCATGCAAGTTGTTTCTATACGTATCCCTTTTCATAAGAACAATGCTCCTGGATTTATCCGCCCTTACACCGACCACATCATTACGACTCATCCATCGTCTAGAATTATGTATGGCACTCGAATATGATCGTTCATCCTGTGCCTTGGCCCTGTGGTTACAGATATCGAAGAAAACCTTCCATCGGAAGTATTCTTTACGCGTGTTGCTAAGACCTTTCACCATCCTCTCAACATCCGGTATAACCTTAGTTAACTCCACCGGAAGGGAAGGAGCAAACGCAGGGCCCAAGCCAACTACGTTAACCAGCATGGGCGGAGGTTGAATGCCATCCCAACATACAAGAGAACCCTGTATTCGGTTTTCTTTCCGTCGTTGGAACGTCGACAGCCATTTTATTTTCTTACGATGTTGCTTGCGGAGTCTCTAACGGGACGACACTTGCATTAATTCTGGTCAGGATTCCTCTCATAAAAATAATTTTCTAATCGGATAACGTTGCCCACTAACGCATACCTTCTTCTCCTAGCATATCTTATCGCTTTTTTCAAACAGATATGCCTAACCACCGGTAGTAACGTAGAACAGTCAGGAGGCAAACGTATTCTATAAATTGAAGCAGGAAATAATCCCAACGAACGGCAATTAATCAGAAAGTCTAACTTGGAAGAACTCCTGCATAACTTCACAACAGTTTTTCTATTGTATTTGGCCGGCGTAGCAATATCTAAACAATCATTCATCATACTGGTGTGAGAATTAAGAACACAACTACGAAATTACCAACATACCAGCATAAATTCATTTCAAAAACGAATGTTTTCTACCGTCTTCAACGGTCATCATCAGGTTCGAATCCAAGATTTCAAAAAATCCAACATTGCAGTTATGCGCATGTCCGATGCAGGGCCTTAATAAAATTATTCGTGTAATTGGTTTCCTGCTTCAAAAATCCGATGTTTATATTATAGTGTAGACATATATGGTGCGCAAATATGCAATGTCGTGCCTTTTAATTTCAGTAAGAGTTCGCTGTATTTTATCTTCCAATTGCTTTCGTCCCCTGCAGAACGGACTAGGCCGAAAATCTGGTCAAAGAGGCCCACGCAATTGTCTTCTTGGTGGAGCACTCCACTCACTCTGATCTTCACCAGGCCATGCACTTCAGTGAGACAGTGTGTTCCGTAGTAATGGTTAGGGTGGAAAAACATATGTTCATGGGTAACTAAACGATATAAGTATGTGGCCACGTCGTTGGAGTTGGAAAATTGCTTATCTAGAACAGCTGGAAATTTTTAAAGCGTTCAGAAAGGGAACAGCCATCAATTTCAAGGAAACAGACTCTTTGGCGACAGCGTGGAGGGCGTATGGTACCCCCCCGAAGTACCTGACTGTACTGGACTTTAAATCACTATACCCTTCGATACTTCTACCACCAGCCTTTTGTGCAATAAGAGATGTGATATTCAAAATAGTAGAGGATAATAATTACCACCATCAAATTTTGGAGTTGGCACATTTATTGTGCTATAACTCGTTCTTTCAATTTAAAGGCACAGTGTATAAACAAAGGGGTGTACCAATGGGGAGCTCAGTCTCGGGAGACCTTTGAAATGGTGATTAGACTCCTGGAGGATAAACTACTTCCCGACCACCTCCACAATATAATTATGTATAAAAGGTACGTGGACGATATACTCATACTATGGAGATGTAAGCCTGATATGCCGCCATTTTTAGCATTGTTTAATAACAACCCTTACGGATTGACGCTGGGTCTTGAACAAAAGAGCTACACCCAGGTTCATTTTCTGGATGTCAGCATCACGGTTAAAGGTTCGACCATCAACACGGAAGTTTACAGAAAACCGCTAGTAGAACAATTATACATTCCAGTAGGGTCTTGTGACCCGAAGCAATACAAAGTAGCGGCATTTAACACCTTGGTTAAAAGGGCTTATACACACTCTTTGACATTGTATGCATTTGAAACAGAAATCAACGTACTTAAGATTATTGCTGAACGACATGGGTATAGTAAACTGATAACTACCTTAGTCAAAAAAAATGATTCGTCCACAATGAGCAGATCATCTGGAAACGCTAGAGAAAGAACAGAAGGAAAGAGTGTCTATAACGTACAATCCGTATTTGGAAAAACTATATAAAGAGATAGCTAAGAAAAGACAAGTTTCCATCGTATTTAGATGTCCTACATTATTCAGACTGCTTATTAATGCGAAAGATACTCCACAACAAGACATGATGGCTGGAGTATACAGCATCCCAATTAGGGATCGCAGATGCGATGAAGACTTGTTATATATCGGCTCCACAAAGAGATTTTTAGGAGTGAGGATTAGAGAACACAAAGCTGACATCCTCCACAAGAGGCCAATAACCGCCTTAGCACAGTACACCACGGACCCTGAAATACAACCATTATTTGATCAAGCCAGGATAATATACACCATGCACCAGACTCATTATTTGCGTTTGATGGAAGCGATTTATATACACAAAGCAACTCAGGGTAACAATTGTATAAACAGCAAAGATGAAATATCATTATCAGTAGCGTGGCAAACCCTGATATATGACATGTAACGGGATGAAACGTAGGCTCACAAAGGCGCATGCGAAAAGGATGACGACAATTGCACGAATTTCGGAGATGTTCCATGTTCAGAATTCTTTCAAAAAAGATCGGCTCAATCGAATGTTAACTGATTTGCCCATTTTTCACCTGAAGAAGAATCGAAAGGTTCTAAAACGTTAGTGAAAGAAATTAAAGTGAATTAAGCACAGTTTTGGTTTATAATAGAAGTAAGTCTTTTGAAGTTACGGTGTGTGTTGGATGTAGTATTGTTTGAAAACTTCAATTACTACTTTGAAAAATGTATTTATTTTACATATAACATTTAAATGTACAATTGAATACAAAATCTTTTTGTAAAAGTTAATTGCAAATATGCAATGTCGTGCCTTTTAATTTCAGTAAGAGTTCGCTGTATTTTATCTTCCAATTGCTTTCGTCCCCTGCAGAACGGACTAGGCCGAAAATCTGGTCAAAGAGGCCCACGCAATTGTCTCCTTGGTGGAGCACTCCACTCACTCTGATCTTCACCAGGCCGTGCACTTCAGTGACACACTGTGTTCCATAGTAATGGTTAGGGTGGAAAAACATATGTTCATGGGTAACTAAACGATATAAGTATGCGGCCACGTCGTTGGAGTTGGAAAATTGCTTATTTATAATGGCACCGACTTGATCGATTTGGACTTTTAATGTACAATCGGGCCAAAAGTGGTCCGGAGTGAAATTGTTGGGTGTTTCTCTTATGCTGTTAATTAAGTTGTAGAACCATTCTGAAAATTTTCTTCCCATTTCGTCTAAAATGTCAGCATCGGGTAGAAGGTTATTTGACTGGTGTGGTAACAAAGAAGAGCTGCTCGTATTTGGTTTTGTAGAAATGCAAAAGTTAGTTTGTCCATCGTTTGAATATGGCGTAACAGAAATTATGGTAGTTTCTGTGGTGTCATTATCCAAAGGAATTTGTTCCACATCCATACATTCATCATTTATTTCTTCCTGTGAAAAAAGAAACTATATCAACAACACTAATATTTCAAATAGTCAATATTCATCAAATATTATGTAAAAGATGAAATTCTAATTCTTCCGTCTATGATATATCCTTATTGAAAATGGAATATGATGAAGACAATACTGCAAGACAGAATCGAGGAATAGAGAAAGATGGAATGACTTGACAAAAACAGCAACAAGTCTACGGGAACCTCCACATTATCAGTGTTACCAGTGACAATCAATCAAACTGCCAAAAGATATAAAAAAAAAAACAACTGCCAAGGAACAGACTCATCCTGCATTCTATAACTAAATTATAGTTGAATTTCCATATTTGTCGTTTGATACTTGCAACCATTTTTAATATTTGTGAAGCTAAAATTTACATATTTGTACAATTGACCAAAATAATAGAATAAAGGGTAAAAATCAAATGATTTTCACCCTTTTACCTTAAATGTGGTCTACCATAATTTGTGTTACGACTTTTGAACACACCAGACCACTTCATAGTTTATCAAATTATTTCGGTAAGTATACTTATGCAAGAATGTATTTTAAATTTGTATGCCGAATGTGAGTGTTATGTTTTAAAAGCAGTATTTCATTAATTTTATCCTTAATCAGTTGAACATGATGTCCTATAAATAGGGCACTGGGCACATATCATACCTTGTATTATTTTTCATTTATTCCAAGATTTGTAATATGCTTCAGTGTATGAGTTTTAGAACAATCGAAGAGTCATTAGAATGCTTATTATCAGAACAGATAGAGGAGGATATTATTACATTACCCCCTGATGCTGAACTTACTGATATGGAAGGTTTTCATGACAGTGAAATGGGAGTGTCCTATGATACAAGATGTTCCAGGGGAAGTAGAAATTAACATTTCAGAAAACAAATTACCAGATGATTTTAAAAACATTGCTTAGATATAATATTTGAGTTTCTTGTCTTCACAAGGGTAACAAGAGAAGTTCACTACACAATGCAAGTTGTGTCTTGTCTGCATTATAAGCTGCAAATTTACACTAATGTTTATTCAGTCATAGTTTTGGCTAGTGCACCACTTTTACAAGTTAGATTAACACTGGTTAAGAACCATTGCTATAAGCTAAAAGGACAAGAAAGGCAATGTCCCTTCAAAAAGAAAAAAAGTAATTAAAATAGTTTGTATGCAATGTTGGGACAGAGAATCAGTCCACTCCATTGTAAATGAATCAACATTTAGAAAACAAGGCAGAGCATCGTCTTCCTCCCGAGGAGCAAAAATCCATACATTTCCAATGCATTTTTCCTTTTTCTACCTGCTGCATTTTCACAAAATGTAATTCCACATAAACATGGAAGTTCTACCATATCTTATCTTAATTATATAAAGAAATTAATAGAGTAAAATTATGATGGTTTGGATACATGAAAATGCTGGGAGAAAAGACATTCCAAAGATAGGTTTATGAAAGGAGGCTNAATGTAAATACCCTGCACTGAGATGATGTACGTAATAAACAAGGGAGCAAGCCGAATCCCAATGGGAGCTGTGTACTTCAGATATACTAATAATATATTCTAATAATACTAATATATTATAAAAATAGCAGATTGTCATTGGTAACTGCAAAAGAGTGGAAACATCATTCGCACTTGTTTGCAGAAAGACCGTTGTTTGCAGCGTCCGTTATTCAAGGCACCACTGTATATGCATGGATGACAAAGTCTCTGAGTGGTCACAGTTGAGGAGGATGTAAGACAGGGGTGTGTTATGTCCCCAGTTTAATGTTTTCTTGGATGCAAACATGAGGAAGTCTAGTGTGGAATGAGAATTGGAAATGAATGAGTCTGCTGCTAGTTAACAATGATTTCCACTTCCCAGGAATGTCCATCACTGTGCTATATGATGGTATCACAAGAACAAAAGTAACTTTGTTGACTTGTCAAAGTCTTCTGAACCAGGACAAGATCAAAATACTGCAGATTGTGACAATGCTTGAGTTAGAGCTGCAGTTCCCTGCCCCAAATTGATCTGAATAACATTCATTTTAAAATCCACGGGACTGATGTTAGTATAGTGACTAAAAGTCATAGAGTCAATTCTCAAAGGAAGTTGTGCTTTAACCTATAATTATATTGGACAGATCTTGTCGAGAGCATTGTGGTTGTGATTATCTGATTTTTTGCATACACAATTTTCACAGGATGGAGTCTCCAATTTCTTGCCGCACTCTTTAATCAAAACATGATACCGTAAGAAAATATTTTATTTGTCTTGTTTTAAGGCAGCGTGCGGTAGCCCCAATATATTCGCCCGGACGATTCACCTTATGATCGTAAATAGGGATAGAATATATTCCCGGAACACAGTTCCTATCAAGACGGTCCTTATTGTTTCGTAAACAGGAGAAAATGGTCTGCGATATTTTTGCCAGCATACCGAGCAATTTGTTTGTAGGTGCTATGAAGGATCTTGTTGTAAGTAATAGGAACGAAGGACTGGTTATTCTGAAGTGCCGTACTCTTAGGTTGTTGGTGACGTGCTATAAGTGCTTTAATTAGGCGCGTAGGGTAACCGTGCAGTCTAGCCACATTCAAAATAGATTCCAATTCCATTTTTCTATCTTCCGCGCTTGAACAATGGGTGAAAGCTCTTCTTACTAGGGTCTTAAAAGCAGAGACCTTGCAGCTAACCGGATCATGTGATTGAGCATGTATAAAAAGAGGCGCATACGAGCTCTTACGGTATACTTGTTATTCGACCCTGTTGTAAGCTAATGTCAATATCAAGAAAATGCACGTTGCTGGAGCTCTGCTGTTCAGCCCTCAACGAGAGGCCATAAGCGTTACTATTGAAAGTTTCAATGAATGCCGCCAAGTCCGGTTTTCTCTTCCAAACAATGAACACATCATCCACGTATCTAGCGTATAATATAATGTCATCTTTAAAGCCAGGTAAGACTTGTTGTTCGAGGCGCCTGACCACCAATTCACATAATGTTCCTGATATGGGGCTACCCATAGGCACTCCTCTAGACTGCAGGAAAGTATCTCCCTCAAATACGAAAAAAAGATGAATGACATATGAGATGTGCCAACTCTAAGATGTCGGAAAGATGTTCAGAAGAATCGTTGATATTTCGAATGAGAAAATCCCTTAACTCAGAAAAACATGGCTCGATGCAGATGGATGGGAACATGGATTCAAAATCACAAACGGTGAAATATACGCCATCTAAGCTGTCAAGTGCATTCAATCTGTGAATCAACTGTACCGGATTGGACACAGTACACGGATATTCCTCGATGGTGCTGGTTACAAAAGAGTTAAGCATGCATTCTATAAGTATAGTCGGAGATCTCGACATGTGACCAGAGCCGTAACCAGGCAGGTGCAACAGGTGCATTCGCACAGGGCCCACTTGGAAGGGGGGCCCAAACTGCTGTTGACAAGAAATTATATTTTTAAATCTTAAATTTTTCCTCCTTTTTTATTGGCGATCACCTTTTGCCTTATTTAGACCCTAGATGTCTACTCACCAGTGTTTCCAACCGTGGCGACTTTTAGAGGGATGTAGTGAGATAGTGGAGACCGCAGACAAATCAGCCAAAAGTAGCGACTTTTGAAATTTTGTTTATTTATTTTTTGAGAAATTTAAATTTANGAAATTATGATAGTTTCTGTGGTGTCATTATCCAAAGGAATTTGTTCCACATCCATACATTCATCATTTATTTCTTCCTGTGAAAAAAGAAACTATATCAACAACAATAATATTTCAAATAGTCAATATTCATCAAATATTATGTAAAAGATGAAATTCTCATTCTTCTGTCTATAATACATCCTTATTGAAAATGGAATATGATGAAGACAATATTGCAAGACAGAATCGAGGAATAGAGAAAGACGGAATGACTTGACAAAAACAGCAACAAGTCTACGGGAACCTCCACATTATCAGTGTTACCAGTGACAAGCAATCAAACTGCCAAAAGATATAAAAAAAACAACTGCCAAGGAACAGACTCATCCTGCATTCTATAACTAAATTATAGTTGAATTTCCATATTTGTCGTTTGATACTTGCAACCATTTTTAATATTTGTGAAGCTAAAATTTATATATTTGCACAATTGACCAAAATAATAGAATAAAGGGTAAAAATCGAATGATTTTCAGTGCTTTTACCTTAAATGTGGTCTACCAAATTTGTGTTACGACTGTTGAACACACCAGACCACTTCATAGTTTATCAAATTATTTCGGCAAGTATACATTATGCAAGAATGTATTTTAAATTTGTATGCCGAATGTGAGTGTTATGTTTTAAAAGCAGTACTTAATTAATTTTACCCTTAATCAGTTGAACATGATGTCCTATAAATAGGACACTGAGCACATATCATACCTTGTATTATTTTTCATTTATTCTAAGCATATTAAGATTTTTAATATGCTTCAGTGTAAGAGTTTTAGAACAATCGAAGAGGCATTAGAATGCTTATTATCAGAACAGATAGAGGAGGATATTATTACATTACCCCCTGATGCTGAACTTACTGATATGAAGGTTTTGATGACAGTAAAATGGGGGTGTCCTATGATACAAGATGTTCCAGTGGAAGTAGAAATTAACATTTCAGAAGACAAATTACCAGATGATTTTAAAAACATTGCTTAGATATAATATTTGAGTTTCTTGTTTTCTCAAGGGTAACAAGAGAAGTTCACTGCACTATGCAAGTTGTATCTTGTCTGCATTATAAACTGCAAATTTACACTAATGTTTATTCAGTCATAGTTTTGGCTACTAGCCACTTTTACAAGTTAGATGAACACTGGGTAAGAACCATTGCTATAAGCTAAAAGGACAAGGAAGGCAATGTCCCTTCAAAAAGAAAAAAAATTAATTAAAATAGTTTGTATGCAATGTTGGGACAGAGAATCAGTTCACTCCATTGTAAATGAATCAACATTTAGAAAACAAGGCAGAGCATCGT